TTGCTACTCTTTGACATTTTGACTTCCAAATACACCCAGTCTTTCTACTCTTAATTTTATGATCTAGACTCTAACTCCCATGTAAGCATTGTTTGTTGTTGTTGTTCTGAAAACAAACAAGGAAAACCCTGAACTTGAATTCCTTTTGAGTTAGTAATAACCATCTATTTCATTTGCAAACTGAATCCTTTCCTCTCATAATGTTTGTTTTGACTTTTTTTTTTTTTTTTCTTGTGGGGGGTTGTTGAAAAATCTCAACTGGACTATTTACTTTATTGCTTCCTATATTATGTCTGAGCATAACACTAAGTTTATGTTAAAAATGAGATCACAAAGAGATTACAATTCAGTCTCTATTTAGTGCTGCCCTTCACAAACAACTTTTTGTTTGCTGCAGCATTTCCCCACCCCTTTAAATCTTTCTGTTCACACCCACAGTGCCAGGCCTGTCATTCACAGATTCACAGATTCACAGAATATTTACGGTTGGAAGGGACCTCTACAGATCATCTAGTCCAACCTTCCTGCTCAAGCAGGCACACCTAGAGCATGTGGCACAGGGTGGCATCCAGGCGGGTTTTGAAGACCTCCAGAGTAGGAGACTCCACAACCTCCCTGGGCAGCCTGTTCCACTGCTCTGTCACCCTAACAGTAAAGAAGTTGCTCCTCACCTGGAGACGGAACTTCTTGTGTTTCAGCTTGTGGCCATTACCCCTCGTCCTGTCGCTGGCCACCAGTGAGAACAGCCTGTCCCCTTCCTCTCTGCATTCTCCCTTCCTGAACTTATACATATTAATCATATCCCCTCTGAGCCGTCTCTTCTCCAGAGAAAACAGGCCCAGCTCACTCAGCCTCTCTTCATACGAGAGATGTTCCATTCCCTTAATCATCCTGGTTGCCCTTCTCTGGACCCTCTCCAGAAGCTCCACGTCCCTCCTATACTGGGGTGCCCAGAACTGCACCCAATACTCCAGGTGCGGCCTCACCAGAGGTGAGCAGAGGGGCAGAATCACCTCCCTCGACCTGCTGGCAACACTCCTCCTGATGCAGGCCAGGATGCCATTGGCCTTCTTGGCCACGAGGGCACACTGCTCACTCATGGTTAACTTAGTGTCAACCAGGACTCCCAGGTCCCTCTCCATGGAGGTGCTTTCCAGCAGGTCAACCCCTAATCTGTACTGATGCCTGGGGTTATTCCTCCCCAGGTGCAGGACCCTGCACTTGTCCTTATTGAACCTCATGAGGTTCCTCTCTGCCCAACTCTCCAGCCTGTCCAGGTCCCTCTGGATGGCAGCACAGCCCTCCGGAGTGTCGGCCACTCCACCCAGCTTGGTGTCATCCGCAAACTTGCTCAGGGTGCATTCCGTGCCCTCGTCCAGGTCATTGATAAACAAGTTGAACAGCACTGGGCCCAGTACTGACCCCTGGGCCACAGGCCTCCAACTGGACTCAGCATTAACCCTGAAGAGGAGGCCCCTAGGCCAAGCAGGTGATGCCCGCGGGCATTTAGGGTGACATTTTTAAGGGAATAAGCTCTGCTGGCTGTAGCAATGCCCTTCCCGTTACGTCTCAAGCCGGGTCTCGCTGTGAGGGGGGCAGATGCAGGAAAGCTGCGCCCAGCAGGGCTGTCTGGGCTCAACGGGCCTGCAGGAGAGCGCTGCGGCTTCGTGCATGGCTGGGACGGCACCGCCTGTGCGGGAAAGAAGGGCGCCTGTGAGGGCAGCGTTGCGGGGACAATTACCGGTGTGCAGCGATCCACACCTACAGCATCCTGCTCCAGATCTACGCCCTAACGGTTTACCAACACGTCGGGAAATGCCGAACTCTCCTTCATTTGACGTTCGTTGTAAAATCTCCCGGGGCTTGGAGCCGGAGCTGGCCCCTGGCACTGAGCGCCACCTAGCGGCGCGCGGGAAGCGCCCGGAGCCCTCGCTGGAAGCCGGGCGGGAAACGGCCCCGCGCCAGCGGCCCCGCCCCAACGGCACCGCCCCAACGGCCCCGCCCCAACGGCCCCGCCCCAACGGCCCCGCCCCAACGGCCCCGCCCCAACGGCACCGCCCCAACGGCACCGCCCCAACGGTCCCGCCCCAACGGCACCGCCCCAACGGCACCGCCCCAACGGCCCCGCCCCAACGGCGCCGCCCCAACGGTCCCGCCCCAACGGCCCCGCCCCAACGGCGCCGCCCCCCGCAGCGGTGTCCGCGGTGGGCTCTGCGCTGCAGCCCCGTGCGTTTGGCAGCAGGGCCCGATACCGCCCCGTGCGTTTGGCAGCGGGACTTTCACGGGTCCCTCAGCAGCACCTCCCGTGAGCCCCGGGGAAGGCGGCAGCGAACTCTGCTTGTGTCTACATACACACACATAAACACACAACCTCCCTGCCGACAGCCTCGCCTATTTGTTATTGGATATCCCTTGAATTTTGTTTTTATTCATATTCCAATGTGTGTGAATTTTGGTCTCCGCTGCTTTTCTGCAGCTTCCCCTTACGACATTTTTCATCTCCGATGGTTATTAAATGATTTGGAGCGCCAGCTAAAGGGCAGGGTTTGGTGCTGCCTGCGAGTCACATTCCCAAAACACTCCGAACGAAGCCGCCAAACTTTTGAAATCTCTTCCCCTTGCAGATTCAGTGAGCGAAGCCATTCAGAAACTTAGAGCCATTTTGAAGCAGCTCCCATCAGCAGCATTATTAAACGGTAGCAAATGCTCAAGCTGTGAAGTTTGTTTTACATTCACTGCTATAGGGTTACACAATTCCTCTAAGCAGTGCAGCACAGGGAAATACACATTATGTACACGTTATGTGCTACTGAATCCTGGCGAATGTTTAATATTCTGCACCACCCAGCAGCGCCGCTCGAGTGCTCCAGAGGCGTCTGGGGAGGAAAAGGAAACCGTCAGCGCGGCCGGTCCTGCAGCCCCGCGGCGGCCTCGCTCCAGGCGCCTCCCTCCCAGCCCAGCGCCGGCAGCTCCCGCTCGGCAGGCGCGGCCTCGGCCGCACGTCGGCGGTGCGACCCGTCCCCTGCCCTCCGCGCCGCCCTCGCCGTTGGGCGCAGCGCACCCGGCGCCTCCTCTCGGGGACGGCAACGGGCGGCAACGGGCGGAGCCAACGAGCAGGAAGCGACCCCCGCCCGCCGCCATTTTGGGCGGGGCGCGGCGGGCGCCAAGATGGCCGCCGGCG